GCGAAATTGCGAGTATGACGACGAAAGAGGCTACAATCAGAGAGGCCGCAACAATTGCTACCAGAGCAACACTTCCACGGCTCGCTGGAAATTTACCCCTGATGATCCAGTACTGACTTTCAAAATAGCGGTGGAACCCAATCAGAAGAATCAATAGGGCGATTCCAATGAAAGTCGTTCCGAGTGGTTTGCCAATATTCCGCAGTCGTTGTGATGCAGATGTGACTCGTATTGTTGCGGGATCATAGAACGGGGGTGAAAGAAGAGAAGGGAAGGCTTGAGAGGATACGTTGGAAGATGATGCGCTCGACGCGTTCAGGCGGAAGAGCTGGGTCACTGCGATGCCAATGGAAGCAAAAGCTAACGAGGTTCTCAACCACGCCAAAAACGTGCGTTCTAACAGCCGTAGACGTTAACGAATGCTACAGACTGGAGGGTTGAAAGAGGAGAAAATCAAAAACTGAGACGTGGAGGCACACCTAATGCAAGATGATCTCGAGCGACGCTTCCCTTATTTTCGAGTTCTACACTGCCGTATCTCTCCGCCAGTCGAGTATACCATGCCACATGTGAATCGTCCAAATCCGACTGAGCGTCTGATGGATCGGTGTTCGCTCCATTTCGCTGTGCTGAATTCTTTGCAAGACCGTTGCCAGATCCGGAATCTCGATTTCTCAGGCCATCCCTCGAACCGGATTGCTGCTGTGCGGAGTGCCCATTACTTACAGCTTGATCAGCACCATTACTTGCCTGTGGCAGCCCTGATGGAGACATGCGTGCTGAACTTGAGGTTTCGGATGGAGAGGATGAAGAGCGATGCGTTCTAGTGGCCACTCTGGCGTGGGATTCAGTCAGATCCGAGTGGTCCATGATGGCGTGCTCGCCAAAATGCAGGACTAACAGTAGGCCAATTTCAGTATTTGCTTATTCGAAAGTGCACACCATCAGCTACCAGATGCAGATATATCGACCGTTACTTCTCCAGATTGTCATTCAGGTTTCGCATCGACCATGGTGCTGAGAAGACGATGGAATTAGTCAGTATCCTGCGTGATTCCTTTGCTCTTTCGCATTTATACAGCAGACTTCAGCTGTCCTTCCATTTGCTTCCTTCAGCTTGTCTTTACGCAAACAGAGTCTCCTTAGCCATTAACGGGTTAGTCTAGAGAGGTATTGGCTGATCACATGGTGACTGGGGATGACGCTAGTCTGCTTTGGTAATGTCGTCATGGTCCTTTTTTAGCAGGCGGTGTAGCGATACCGCTTATCTGCCCGCCGAAGCGCCCATGAGACCGTTTTATTTCGTTGTCAGCTTAATGCCTTGATACTGCTGCTTTACAGTCAAGTGATTACATTCCGAGGTCACTTGCCAGCATTTGACAGAACCAGATCGCTCTCGAGGCGAACTTCTACATGATGGCTTCTCATGCGACTATTTCGTCTCCGCCAGCAGGACCCAAGTTTGATTTGTCCAAGAAGTTATCCGAGCTGCGAGCTACTCGCAAGTCTCACTCTGGCCCCTCGTCCAGAGAGCCCGCCCCGGTGACACCTCCTCTCCCCAGCCCACCAGATCTATCGACTCATACCTATGCACGGCCTGTTCGGCGTATTCTGTCGCGGAAAGACCACGAGAAATTTCTTGCGTCGTCGACCTACACTCTCGTCGTCGCCTTCATTTTCGGCATTTCTGATTCAGTAAGAGGACGTGCGGTTACAGATTACAAAGACCAACCTGCCTCCCCCAACATCTCCAGAATTCTATCACTGATAGATAATATAAGACAACTCGTTGACAAACATCCTTCCATTGACCAAGGCGGTTCAAGGTTCGGTAACCCGGCTTTTCGCGATCTCTTCGATGATGTGGCTGCGCAGAGTGCGACATGGCATAGAGACATCATCGGACTACAGAATGCGGACGCGATAGATGAAATATCATCATATTTGGTTCACTCCCTGGGATCACGGGATCGGTTGGACTATGGTTCAGGACATGAGTTGAACTTTGTGATGTGGCTATTGTGCCTTCGACAGATGCAGATGATATCGACGGCAGACTTTCCAATGATTGTTTTCAGAGTTTATCTCGAATATATGCATCTTATGCGGCAAGTACAAATGACTTATTATCTGGAGCCTGCTGGCTCGCATGGTGTCTGGGGTCTGGACGACTACCATTTTCTGCCCTTCCTCTTCGGTGCCGCCCAGCTTGTGGACCATCCGTACATCACACCGTTAGCGATCCACAACACAGCAGTATTAGACGAAGAAGGAGACAGATATATCTATCTGGATCAAGTGCGATGGGTAGACAGCGTGAAGACGGTCAAAGGTCTCCGGTGGCACAGTCCCATGCTGGATGATATCTCTGGTGCCAAAAACTGGCTGAAGGTTGAAGGAGGCATGAAGAAAATGTTCATCAAGGAGGTTCTGGGCAAGTTACCTATCATGCAGCATTTTCTATTCGGCAGTCTGCTGCCCGCTGACCCAGGCATGGGAGAGCGCACGGATGATGCGGAGGATGACGATCTCCACGACCATGGAGATGGCCATCCTCACGCCCGTCACACTGATCATTTTGGAGATTGCTGCGGTATCAAAGTGCCGAGTACAGTGGCCGCTGGAGCCGAAATGAGGAAACGAATTGGCGGAACAGGTCTACGACCGATTCCTTTTGATTAGCGTCTACGTTCATGACGATTAACTACAACCTACATTAGATCTATCAATGAAGCGAGCGCTTAAATGCTATTTTCACTCAGGGAGTAGTACAGGATATTCCAGGCGTTTTGAGAAATCCAATCAAGAATCGAATCAATTGAGCAAGAGAACTCACCATATCCTTTCCCAAGCAAGCCCTTTCAATCAAACTCCCTCAAAGTATAAGGTCCTACCAACACCCAACCAACAGCAGACCCCAGACGCCAGAAACCCACGAGAGAAAGACCCATCACCCATTACCCATCCCCCGACAACGCAGCCAAATCGTTCGTCAACTTGGTAACATAATTATCCGCCCTCCTATCATTATCCCTCTGGAGAATCCGCTCAGGCGACATCTTCACATCCTGCAGCCGCCGCTCGAGAACCGTCCCAGAGGTCTTGAGCACCTCCTCAGCCCTGTTATCAGCCACAGTTACTTTCATCAGCATCCCCTCGTTGGGCGCCTCGCTTTGATACGACCATAGATTAGTCCTTTTGTCGTGGAGCTCCTGGACTGCAGTGTGGAGAATTTCGCTTTGGGTTAGTGGATCGCCGTGCATGGGGAAGTGGACGTACCAGGTGTATTCTGTGGGCTCTTCGCCTCAGAGGTACTGGATGAGTCCGAGGAGCCCCATTCTACTTGTTGTGTCGTTTGTTTGGGTACGGTTGCGTTTTGGATGGATTTCTAGAGGCCTGATAGGAAAATGAGGACTAGTGTGATGTAGTGTATTGCTGATGCAATATTAACTGAGAGTAAAGATGCATTTAAGGCACTATTTATATACAGTAGATGAAACATCTAGATTGAAACTGAAAGTGCTATATCAGACATGCAAGAAAGAAGTCTGCATAGTTTGACACCACAGGAGGGTTCCATGCATTGTCGAATCTGCAAGACGAGTCTGGAGCTACAAGACAATACCTTTGTGTACTACCTGTGCTCCCCTCAATGATTCCTTTGTAGTTGCTCGCAGTTAATGTCTGAGGACTAACAAAGCGCAGATGGCAGTAATTGCGGCAAGTTGCCTTGCATGTCTTTCCGAAAGATGACGTCTCATTTGATATCTCCAGGGTATTGCAGAACAGCTTTCTATTCAGCCATTCCAAAACTCCAACGCAAAAGAACACACAGGAAGGATATTTCAAAAGCTCATTCGATCCATATCTAACCTCTTTCTACTTCCCTCCTGCATCCTCCAAACTCAAACTAGCCAGGCACTTCTCCGCCAGCCTCGTCTGCGTCCTACTATGCATCTCCATTCTATGACGCTCCAGATGCCGTTGAGCAATATGGTACGCCGCACGCCGGATTGCCCCCCAGTCGGAGTATCGAGCCTGGACCTCAATCATGAACCCAGAAATGGTACTTTCTAGGTTACGCGAGGAGTAGATCTCGCAGCGGCCGGCTTGGATGGCGCTGCAGATGGCGTCGAAGAGAATGATCTTGTCGTGGGCGTATCCGGAGGAGAGTGGCACATGGACGTACCACGTTGTGATGGTGTCTGCCGTGAAGAGGTCGTCTTCGCCATCGGACAAGAGGCGTTCCATGATCGTCCTGGGGGATTGTTCTAGAGAAGAATCTTGAGGGACTCAAGGTAGAGATTGGAATAGTTGAACGATGAGTAGGGAGACACCATGCGGCAGACACATCGTCCTTGAGAGTTTATAAGGAAACGCACTGAAGCTCAATTCAGAGACGGATCCGAACATTTAAGATCAAACAGAGCATTGAGGTCAAAGAGAGACCGCTCAAGATGGTATGATATCAGGAGTCCAATAAGGCCATCATTGTACCCTAGTATTCAGCATGGCAAGAAAATACCTTTGTGGAAAGAACAAACATGGAGTACCTAATGGATTACTCCTTACTGTTGAGTTACTAAGCACAGTATCCCTTTAGACGGTCATCCTTTGTCCAGATCATGTTGTCCTCCACCAGACAAAGAGAGCACGAACAAACAAAGAAAGCACCCTTCCAGAATCCTTCTTTGGCATCATGTCTCACATTTGGAAACAAGATCTCTGTGGAACGTTTTACTATCCTTTCTATGCATATCACTTCTATACTGACCTGAGTCCCTGAATCCAAGTATAAGAAAAAACACGCTAAGCCGAAGTAGTAAAATAATCACCTGACCATCGCCATCTACAACGCCTTTAGATCCACTTACAACACCTCATCATCATCAGAACCACGCCAAAGTAAAATCATATTATTGACCATATCTCTCGCCAACAAACATATAAGCCACTGTCTTGGACGTCTAAAACCCCAACAAACCAAGAAGAAGCTCCAAATGGCCCCCGGCGACGAATACACAGCCGGCGGGGGCGGCAAACTCAAACTCAAAGGCTCCAAAGTCAGCGACGGCCGAGTAGACAAGAAAAAGAAGAAGTCCAAAAAGAGCAAATCCGACAAGGAAGGTGAGGTTGGCTCCGCGCCGCCGGAAGCTAGACACCCAGATGAAGACGGGAGGAGCGAGGAGCACCACCCGGACGACCGCACACCTGATGATGCGGGCGCAACAGTAGGCAAGACAGAAGCGGAAAGGAAGTACGAAGAGGCGCGAAAGAAGAGGGTACGTATCTCATTCTGCCTTCAGACTCTACCTACGCTTTGGCGGTGGAAAGGTCTACGAACAATGGACAAAGCAGCTGATATCGGAGTAGCTCTTGGAACGTCTAAAGCGGGAAGGAGTCAAGACTCACAAGGAGCGAGTGGAGGAGTTGAATAAGTATTTGAGCAGGCTGAGTGAGCATCATGATATGTATGTGCTTTTCATTTCTTATTCGCTTGTGGAAAGGCATGGACTGACATGTGCTGCTATAGGCCGAAGATTGGACCCGGTTAAATGGGGTTTGGAGACTTTTTCTGTTGTATATGTACGCATCTTATTCAGTAATCTTGGTTTTCGCGTCAATTACTTCTTCCTGGATGGCCTCGAGTTCTCATTTCTCAAGCTGTTGGACGTAGCATGGGCCACTACTCTAACGTCGTTGAACGTCATATGACACGAGATCAGGTTGAGCTCCCACTGGCCCAGACGCCTGAGATTGCTGGCGCGCTATGCGGCCTAAGCTACGAGGGTAGCTGCCTTAGTTGCCTCACTACAGCCTATCCACGACTGAAGGCCATTGGCGAGCTCCCCGAAATCGATGAGTTTGGTATCGACTGTACAACCACTTATGTGCGACACCGAAGCGGGGAGACGACAGCAGGTCCGAGCGGTCTACACTACGAAGGAAATAATGACTGTACCTGAGGAAGAAAGGAGAAACCAAATCGTCTCAGTTGTAGATAGAACAGTAGTCTATGGATGGCTGAACACGATGCCGTATTCGCGCAACAAATCGATACTGCAGATTGTAGTGAATCATCAAAACTCCAATGTATGAACGCCACGCGTATGAATGGCAATGAGATGGGCAAACAACCATCAAAAATAAAACCCAAGAGAGTATCTCCCAACCCAAAGTCCCAAAAACAAAGTAGATTTGCAGTATGTGCAGCCGACAGGAACAAAAACGAATTCGTAGTTGCTCAGACCGGCCAAGTTATTAAATCGAGTCACAACACCGCGCTAAACTCAACGGGCTTAATCGACTGCGACGTAGGATGAGAGGTAAATAGAAAGGATTGTCGGAGGCGAAGTTGAGGGAAACGCGAAACCCGTCCCAGGTTCTTATACGCCCTTGATGACTTGGGTACGCTCGCTGTTGAGCTTGTCGGCGTTTCGGGCATGAGACTCCTTCTTGCAGTCCTCTAACCCCGTACAGGAGTGAGCCTCCAGCATTCTATGTTTCGAGCAGTAGTGTCCATTGCAAAAGCTACAGTCACCGACGATCCGCTGAGCGGCTTCCTTGCACTCCTTGAAGTTGCAGCGAGGCTTGCGGGGCGCCATTTTCATAAAGTTGCGACAAGAGCTAGGTAAGGCGGTTGGAAGGAAGAGGTCGAGGAAATATATATCGACTCGGTTTGAGGAAAGCAGTCAAGAAGGATTCGAGGAGAACCGTACGGACGGGTAGACGACGAGGTTGAGAGTAGAGGTGATTGATGGCGAGGTCGAGGGTAAGATAAGGAGTTCCGAGAGCAAGGGTAGGGAGGAGAATAGACAGTTGAGGAGCCAAGTCGATAAGGAGAGAGATAAGGAGGAGGACGAAGTAACTGCTGCCAGCGGCTCGGCTATATATATGTCTTCCAAAGAGGAACGGAAAGCAGACCGATAATCGGAAAGCACGGGAGTGAAACAATAGGTGGTATCTAGTGGAAGGATGGGGGTGAGTTTTGCTGGAAATTGAGGTGGCAGTGAGGCAAAAAAAGAAAAGTCAATTTGTACAAACGGATACAGAGACAGGAGGCGACGGGGAAGGGATTGCCTTAATAATTAAAGAATGGATGGAGCCAGATGATGCTGCTGATGATTAATATTAGTTAACCTGGGAAGAACTGAGGAGAAACTGGAAGAGAGGGATGAATGCTGAGTCACAGTACCCAACCAGATAGTTAGATAGGCTAGATTGCTTCATTTGGAGACATCTACGTAGGAGGTTGTATCATAGTAGTAACTAGTAATTATTCATGATACTGATAGTACAGAATAGTACACTAGTGCCACCGCTGATCCAGGAGAGCTCCATTTTTCACTCTACTTTTGTACATATTGAGTTACACACTTACTACTACTGATCTAGTGTGCAGTACTTATAGCTACCTGGGTGGAGGCAAAATCGGGGGTGGAGCCTGAGGCCTTTGGAAAGTTACTGTACAGTAGAAAGGGAGTTTCCAAGTGTTCACTTGCCCAGCGCACGAGGTCGGTTTGCCTTCGGTACCACATCTTGCGATCATCTGGGGCATCATCGAATGCGTCCTCTCGAGTTTGCAAAAGAGGACTACAAATCATTATATTATCATCATCAAGTTGGCGAGATTAGTATTGAGGCCAATGGCTCTTCATTACGCAGTACTCCGTACTATCTATTAAATCCTGGTCAGGTTTGGAGTATCAAGGAACCAAGAAGGCTTCAAGCACTAGACTAATAGTACAAGAAAAGGGGAAAGGACCCAAAAAGGACAGTTCATCTCTAAAGCATGTCGACTGAATGATCAAGTCACTTTCCCCTTTCCGCTGGGTGAGGTGACGGCTTCTGCAGAGTACCCTCTGACCCTTATGACCCCTATGAACGCACCGACCCATTCGGGATTCCAACTACGCATAGTTATCTATTGAATAGCGCCTGCCACTGAATGGCATGCAAATTATCTCACAAGTCCGATCGTATAAGGCAGATCCTGGCTATGACTATCATTTCAACACCACAAGTCCACAACAATGCAGGGCAACCGCTGGAGCCTAACGACGGTGCATCCTGAGTCCACCTGATCTGAGTCGCTACCAGTTCGACACAAACCGTTCGGATATCAGCTATTATTTACTACACTAGCTGTTTTTCATTGCACTGTATCGATGTCTATCGGTTAAGATTAATCAACTGATTCAAGTGACCGACCGAACCGATGGCGCTCTTACATTTTGGACGAAACCTACTATTCGGCCTTCTCCGCACCAACCATGAGTCACGTGAAAACTATGTCCCAGCACTCAGCGACTCCAATGACCAAAAAGCGCATCAAATCAATGTCTAACTGAAAATTGAAAATAATCTGTATAACAGACCCAGCAATTGTCCATATGTTGATGAAACCCAGCATGAAAATGGGCTTTGTCGGAAGGCGTGCAGATTGCTTGCGGTTGGCGCAACTCCATGAAACTGCAACGGTGCGGAGTAAAAGCCACTAGCTATCTCTCTAGCTATCTTCAGGTAAGGCAAGGTAGCCACTTACCTCGGGAAGACGAAGACCACCAATGATGCAAGTTTCCTTGGATCTCGCGACAATTAACCTCTTTTTCCTGGAAGATGAGCAAGTTGCAACACATGATAATCCGGGACTGGGTGTCATTTACCATCTTGAGTAAGCCGGTTGAAAACGCCACTAACTGCACTACTGTAGCTAACTACATCTGGCCCGCAGAGATAGCACAATATACTTTGAGTTGGCAGATGTGCGTGGTTCCATTGAGTTAGAAGAGTTTGATCCATTTGATAAGGACCAAAAGCGCTAGGTTACCCCGTTGGCATATTTACCTTAGCGTCCACAAGGTAGATATATAGATACCATAGTCGATACAGGAGTAGCGGACTACCACTGCGGTACCCGGTGCTTGGTATGGAGAACTATCAGGTACCTCGTAGCGCTAGCACTCGTTGGATAGCTCATGACAATTTTTGAAACACGACGGAAAAAAGAAATATGTGAAGAGAACTAACCCAGCCGTCTTGGGCACAACCATCCATCTCCTCCTGCTGTATTTCAGAGCCTCGCAGTCACAGCTGCTACCCAATCCGGCAGCTCAGGATAAGGCATAGCCCCTTCTTTTGTGTATACGTTCGAGATGTCATATCCAGTGAAAGGGATATGCTCCCGAGCTCTCTTTTGAATACCGCCCACTCGCCAACTATGCCACCCATATCTGATTTATATTCTGTATACTCGATTGATTCCACTGTTGCCAAAGTACCTAACTGCATGTGAAAATGAATGATGCATGTACTTCGTGGCCCATGCGTTGTCAATCGCAGTTGGCGATGTTGGGCTCCATACACTATCTACCTGCAGCACCAACATCTCCGCAGCAGTAAGGCTTACGATTTTATCAAGGCGCGACCGCCTTATGTCTGTGCTCCGATAAGAGCATGCGCTCTACTACTACATCCGTATGTAGCTCAAACTCCCACCAAGTGGTCTCCGGGGCCTGAGAATGCTGGACATTCGATGTCGTATTATCCGTCTCTATCTCCTCCTATAAGGTCTTGCCTGAAACCTTTTCCATGGAGCAACGCCCATGATCAAGAGTAGGAGTATTCGCAAGGATATAGCAAAATAAAACTAACAGTAAACGCCTCTTACCAATGTTCAACCCATCAGAAAAAGCCATAGCAACAGGGCAAGGAAATCAAGGAGCAACGCCGATTTGCAGACATTAGCCATTCACTACGCAGTGGTCGTGGTCACACCCCCATCTCCTTCTCCTTGCCCGCATCTGGGTCCAGATAGTCTTCTCTTTCTGCTGCCTCATATTCACCTACGAGGTCCATCACCACAGCCCGCGCTTCGTCAAATTCGCCGAGACCGTCTGTAAAGGGACTCTCCTTCTTGTACTGTTCCAAGAATGCGTTTCGTTTCCGCAGGCGGTCGTACTGTTGGACGATTCGCTTGAAGAGAGTCGCCACTGACGTGTGATTCGCCAGCATCAGGCCGCTGACGCGGTGTGTGTTTTGTATGTATGGAGATTTCTTGGTCAGGGCGACTTGGATACTGGCCGGGCCCCAAGGGATGAATGATGCCAAGCGTCGCTCGCGGATACGCAGCAAAGACTTGTGCACATCTGTGGGATCTGCTTCACCCTGGATGATGTTGAGGATACTCATGTAGCAGCTGGACTTGCTGGGGTTGATTGAGACCATGCGGTTTTTCGGCTGTAGCAGGCGGCGCATAACGTCTAGAACGGTGGTTTTGCGAACTGTCTTTGCTTGGTCGACATTGTCACCAGTAAAGGGCGTGTATGAGGTGATCAGGAAATGGCTGCGAGGTGTAGGGATAAGAGAGGCGATGATTCCAACAAGATCATTGTGCATGTAGCCGGGGTAACGGAGTGTGGTAGTTGAGGCTGACATGACGGTGGACACCTATCGAGAGTGAGCTTTCTTTGGACCTCGCGTAGTTGAGCAATGAGGAAGACTCACAAGCTGATTCGTCTGCTGGAACGAAGGCTCTTGAACATGAAGTCTATCTGCAACAATCCTCGAGAGTGCACCATTGTCGAGAACAACCTGACAGCAACTTAGCCCTATCATTGGGTAATCCCATAGATGGAAACTTACCACAGAGTCAGCATTCTGTGTCAGTCTCCTCATGGCTAGCAGACTGTTGTACGGATTGACCACGACATCCGCGGACTGGGTATCGGGGAAAACGGAGTATGTCTGAATCAACTTCTTGGGAAATCGGTCATTCATCCGCTCTAGGATGAAGCTACCAAGTCCCGAGCCGGTTCCTCCTGCAATCGAATGCAGGAACATGAAGCCCTTTTACGACATACCAGATTAGCCCAACAACACTCATAGGCGATCGCCAAAAATGTCCGATCCCCTCCACCTAAGTGTCTCACCTCTAAAGAATCACTACCGTCCGCTTCTCGGTCAATCATGTCGAAAACCTCCTCTTGTACAACTTCGCCGGCGGCGTAACCGGCACCCCAATTGTTCCCAGCACCAATGCCTTGCTGACCGATGAAGAAGTTCTCTGGATTGTAGATATTCTTGTAAGGTCCGCTTTGTATTGAGTTCAAAACCTGTCCATCAAGCTCAGCTCAGATCAGGAGAGAAATAAATCGCAGCGCATTGGTAGAGGGTGAATTCGTACTCTTGGCTCTAAGTCCAGAAGGATAGCTCGGGGGATATATCTGGTATCATCGCTCTGATTTCACCAAAGGTCAGCTCACCCAATCCAAGCATCAGATTTCCAAGCCCAACACGCCGCAAAGGCTCTTACCTGGTAGAAAAAGACATCCTTGCGATCCCCGCCTTCTGTTGCAAACTCTTCCAAGTTCCCATCCTGGCTAATCCCATGCTCAAGGCAAAGCTGTTGCCAGAACTGACTGCCGACTGTACAAAAATCCAGTTAGCGGGATCGTGGCGTCGCAAGAGTGTCATGTCTAATGAGGTTGCGGACGGCTGGTTTGCGTCGCTCGAGATTCATACCATTGTTGCCGCACTGGCCGGCTTGAATCGTAATTATTTCTCTGAAGACGGCTTGAGTATTAGGTGGCTTTATCTCACACAAAAGATCAGACAAAAATAATTGGGCGAATCGTGGCACATACCTGGGCATCGTTCTTCTTGACCACCAGAAGTAGACGAGGTTATAGCCCACGCGTAGCGCGTTTGCGCGGGGAATCTTATTTTGGAGGTGGTGGGCCTCAGGTACGCAACGCTAGGTAGCTATCAGTAGTGTCTGAAACTTTCTAGAGCAATAATAAAATCATAGAACCGAGACTGTAATTCGATCGGTTCCAACTCGGCTGTTAACTGGCACCGTGTATATGAATGATTTAAATTTCTTATTCTATCCTGCTTTTTGGATGCCAGATGTGCACGCCGCTTTCCGGTCTACATCTTGGTCTTGAAGTAATCATTATGCTAACCCACAATCAATATCCCAAATCTGAACCATCGAAAATCACTGAACGCTCGTGCAGTTGACCGTGGCACACCATGGAGTATCATATGCTGCATGCCTCATATTCGCTAGGAAAGATGAAGTACGCCATGCTCAAGTGTCTCAAAATCCCGCCTTGCAAGCCGTCACAAGCATGCCGGCCCCGGCGACTACACCATCAATTATCCTCACTCTTCGGCCTTGTCGTTCACCATATGCCCTGATACAGCCATCTCGCACCGCTTCCTCCATACCTGCCATTCCCGCACAGCCCATGCAAATGGCAGTTAAAGGACGCGACGTGCTTTTGATGAGTCTCTCTGTCGCATCGCTGATTCTTTTCCTCACCTCTTCAGCAGGCGTAGTATGTAATTCACCGGCTGTCAATCCAGTGGTCTCCACACCGGCAAAGCGAGCAGTAGAGCCGTTGCTGTCGTCAGAAGTCACAATCATCTCTGTGACCGCTCTTGTCAGTTCGTCTCTCCAGATGCTCCCAGTGGTAACTATGCCGAATGTCTCCTTCGCTTGGGCTTTGTGAAAGTTTGCATCGCCTGTCAGATGGAAAGAGCTAATGAGGGAGAGAGAGGTCAAGACACTAGCTTCGAATATGCCCGTCACATATTTCTTTCGGTACTCTGGTACTGGAGAGCCTCTTCCGAAGGACGTCTCCTCAAATTCTGTGATCGCCTCTTTCAGCATGCCGACTAAGGGATGAGCCGAATAACATGCCACAAGAAATGCGTCGTATCTTGGGACAAGTGGTTCGACAAAGGGCCTGCAATGCAAGGCTGATGTGATAGAATCTTTTCCCGAGTTGATGCTAGGCACTCCATTGATAATGCGCCCATCAGGGAGTGTGACAGACTCACTGGAAGGCGCCGTGAAGTAATCGAAGTAGATATCTGCATAATCCAAGCTCTCTAGGATGGGTTTGAGTGCGTTCGTCATGTGGGTTGAAGTGTTTGGGTTGATGATTAGGACCGAGAATCGACGGTTGTCGTTCGGTGCAGCCATCTTGGAACAGCTTGTTGCTATGAATTGACCTAGACTTCGACGCTGACCCACTCAGATCCGATGGTCGTTGCTATATATGCGATTATGCTGTATATATTTGGGAATTGGATGTTCGGACTGGATGAGGTTTCCAAGGGGTCTGCAGCAATGTGCAAGTTTGTCCTCCCCCCAGGAGACACTAGTCCATGCTGAGGATTGAAGACTTCAAAGATCAAAAAGCTTCCAAAACGCCTCTAAGCTCAATTAAGCTTAATCGCCTTCTTGCAGTCATGCTTGTATTGTGGATTACAATGTTTGACTCTGCCCACTCTTTGATGAGATCAGAAGAGCAGTGTTCCAGTGCGGGGTAAGGGGACTCGTATTCATTCCTCCGTAGTCGGAGGGGTGTTTTGAGACCTCGTATTCGCACCATATTCCAGGCTTTGGCGGGCTGCTGCGGGTATCGTTGTTTTGCGTGTGGACATGAGATTGCTGGATTATTAATTAAGAATGTCAGATCCTAAATACAAATAGCGACAATGACCCCGAACCTCGTCATCCCAGCGGAAGGTACAGCTGACCTCAGTATCCCATCAGATTCCACTTTCAGTCGTCGAACATCACCGACTACACTCTCACTCGATTCTCAGAATGCCTTTGGTTGTGCCGTCGGCTACGCCGAGAGTCATCCTCGGCTTGATGACCTTTGGGCCAGATGAGTCCGAAGGTGCTCGCATCACGTCCCTCGACGACTTTAACAAGTGCTTGGATCATCTCCAGCAGCAAGGTTACAACGAGGTTGATACTGCGCGAGTCTACGTGGGAGGAAAACAAGAGGCTTTCACAGCCCAAGCAAAGTGGAAGGAACGTGGACTGACCCTAGCGACGAAATGGTACCCTCATACTCCCGGTGCACACAAACCCGACGTTCTCCGTGAGAACCTGGAGCGTTCTTTGAAGGAACTGCAAACCGACCAAGTGGACATCTTTTACCTGCACGCCGCGGATCGATCTGTGCCTTTTGCTGAGACCCTCGAAGCCGTCAATGAGCTCCACAAGGAGGGAAAGTTCGTGCAGTTGGGCTTGAGCAATTACACTGCTTTTGAAGTCGCGGAGATAGTTATACTCTGCAATGAGAGAGGTTGGGTTCGACCCACAATCTACCAGGCGATGTATAATGCTATCAGTAAGTATCCTCTTGCTGTGGCCTAGATGTTCTGCTATAAGGCCCTGTTCTGAGTGTAGTTACTGACGCCGATGAATGAAGCGCGCAATATCGAAACGGAGCTTATCCCCGCCTGCAAGCGCTACGGAATTGACATCGTGGTCTATAATCCGCTGGCTGGCGGCCTGTTCTCCGGCAAATACAAGACTAAGGACATTCCTGCGGAAGGAAGATATAGTGATCAGTCTTCACATGGAACATTGTACCGGCGACGTTATTTCAAGGAGGCAACATTCGACGCTCTGCAACTGATCGAGCCTGTTGCCGAAAAGCATGGCCTAACCATGCCTGAGATTGCGTTTCGCTGGATCCATCACCACTCCGCGCTCAACATGAAGGATAATGGCCGCGATGGTGTCATTATTGGCGTGAGCAGCCTCGCGCAGTTGGAAAACAACCTCAAGGATATCCAAAAGGGCCCGTTGCCTCAGGAAGTCGTCGACGTATTGGACCAAGCCTGGTTGATTGCGAAGCCGACCGCTCCAAACTACTGGCATCTCGACTTGAAATACACCTATGATACCCAAGCGGCACTGTTCAAGCCTAAAACGAAGGTGTAGCTCAACCAATGCACCGTATTTGGATTATACATTGTCCTTGTCCAATAGATATTCACGATTCACTTGTACATCAATTCGTTGTGATTTTCTGTATAGCATCATCCTGCGTCTGATGCTTCCATGTGGCAATCAGAACTACCTTCCATGTACTTAAGCCGTCTGCCGAGAATAAACCGAGCAAAGTCCTTCGGATCACGGGCAAGTTTCTGGCGTCATGCGTTCCACCCCCTTTGCTCAGAGCAAAGGAGGAGAATTGAGTGCAAGGCAAAGGATTGAGAAAAGATACCAAACGTGTGAAATGAATTCTTAACTCCTGAAGTTATGCCTCAAGCCATTCCTATCTCCAGTCCTGGGTTGGCAGTCCCGATATCATCATGTCGGCGTCGGCATTTCGGTCCGTTGTGGATCTCCCACGTTTTTTTGCCCTGCAAAATTTGGTAGCAAGCCCCATCTTCTTGTCTGAGATTGGATTCTAGAATGCTGATTGATAACAGTGTGGCCTATTTGCCTTTGCAATGGTTGATGTGCCAAGCAAACAGAGGATGAATTTTCGTGGAAATCGCTGACGCTCACTGGAGCTTGTTTTTCATGAGAACTTTAGTTGAAGACTTGATTGCAGTATGTATCTACTTTAAGGGACATGCATGGTTTGGCAATGAGCAAGACCATCAAGTCTTGTCGGACTTCACTGCCGAGTATCTTGAGTAGTAGCCGGCCTACCAAAGAAGGAGGCAAAGACGCAGGCGAAGCAGAGGCCTCACCAGATACGCTTCCTTGCCGCTCCTCTCTTGATAAGTACCGATTTGCAGAGCAACACAGGGGCTGGAGACGAGTCGTGTACAGTTTCACACCATCGTACGTCTCCAATTCCCTCAAAGCCGGCTTCCCTCAGAGGGTCTGGTTAACCATGAGATCTCTGAAAGCTACTAACATTCGTATCAGGTGGTTTTCCGTCGTTATGGGGACTGGGATGATTTCCACCGCCCTGAATACTCTTCCTTATAATGGTCGCTGGCTTTACTGGATCTCGATCGTGGTCTTTGCCCTCAATGTCGCCATCTTCGCAGTGTGCAGCATTCTGAGTGTGCTTCGCTACACTATGTACCCAGAGACCCTTAGCGCTGTCTTGAATGAACCTGCTCAGTCAATGTTCTTGAGTACGTTTCCCATGGGACTAGCAACTATTGTGAACATGGTCTGCTTTGTGTGCGTCCCGGCGTGGGGAAATTGGGCGAGAGATTTCGCTTGGGCCTTGTGGATGGTTGATGCTTGCCTTTCAGTTATCTCCGCACTGTACCTGCCGTTTTCACTGTAAGTTTGGCTATTCGTGTGTGCCTGCCGGATTTGACTAAACAAAAGCAGAATGGTTTCGAACGTCGATGCACAGCTCTCCTCGATGACTGCGATCTGGCTGTTGCCAATTGCGAGCTGCGTTGTAGCTTCAGGGACTGGTGCAGTCGTTGCAGACCTCCTTTTGGATCCTAATCATGCTCTATGGACTATTATAGTCAGCTATGTCCTATGGGGAGTTGGCATTTGTTTATCGATGATCGTCTATGTTATCTACTTTCAACGGCTTACTGTGCACAAATTGCCGCATAAGGGAGTTATCATGAGCGTGTTCTTACCGATGGGACCTTTGGGATCCGGCACCTTTGCGTAAGGCCCCAGGATGAGCTTCTTCGTGATCTATACCTAACCCGTCATATTTCAGGGCCATGAAACTCGGTACAGCTGGAAAGTCTGTTCTATCAAAGACTCAAACGTTGAATGACAGCTCTGCCGCCTCGATAGTTTATGTTATAGGCGCAATGACCGCACTAATCCTCTGGGCTTTTGGTCTTCCTTGGCTTTTCTTTGCCTGCGCATCGGTGCTGAAATCCGGGAGGTTTCCATTCAACATAGGCTGGTGGGCTTTCACCTTTCCAGTTGGTGCGTATGCGATGGGAACATGCCAGTTAGGGAGGCAGCTGCCTTCTGCATTTTTCAAGGTCCTGGGAACAGTAAGTTTACACAACCGATCGATTTTTCGATCAAAGACTAAGATTTACATCAGGTCATCTCGTTAATAGTCGTGATCCACTGGATGGTCATCTCTGCCAGTACACTCAAGGGAGTCGTCTCTGGAAAAATATTTGTTGCCCCCGGAGTCGCCAGTGTACAGCGCCAGGGCAAAGAGGAGAATGATTCGGAAAACATCTCATAATCTTGATGCAGGATCCGTCCTGAATAACTGCATCCTGGCTGAGTCGAACTTGAAAGTGGAGCGGCAATACAGTCTCCACCCTACAAGGGATGTGAGAGAGTCATGCGAGGGATTGTATGCAACCATTATCTATCTCTTGATATCAACCCTCTCTTTCGTGGCAGGGAAACCAACATATGCTCATGCATTCACAAGAACTTGGTTTGTGCAAGACCAGATCTTCATCCTTCCCTCATGACAAGCCAAAGGGGAAATGTGCGTCATGAGAGAGACACGAGCCTTGTTTCCAACATTATCGAGAGTGCTGGCCTTATTCGCGCAGAGAAAGCCGCATCCTCTGTCACTTCGCCGAACACCATGACCGAATCTAGCGTTGCATCTGGATTCCACAGGTGGAAGAGGGTAGGATTCTAGCACGCCATTTTCCGTACGATTCCGTGGACCCGTCGGGCTGTTGTAGCGAAGACTGCACCATTCCTCACTAGAGCATTCTAGACAGCTCGAGGCTGGCTAGGAATCACCGAAAGGTACAGCTCGCCACATAGCCGGAGACCTCGCAGTAGACTTGTGCGTATCACCCTTACATCGAGGTCTGGGTCATTATGCAATTGGCATCGGATGAGAATCGAGAAAGCCGCCGATACTCATATAGACTGGTCTCTTATCACATACTGCAGATGTCGTTTTCAGCATTCCAGACCTCCCGGTTAGCTTCAGTTGATCAGAATACTGCCTCAAATCGCCCATCCCTTGCGTAGCCAAACTGCAGAACACAAGCTATTAGACCTACAAAGGATAGGCCGACAAAATGAGCCGAACAATGACCGAACTCAAAACCTTCAAACTCGACAGATCGTACGAAGTTCAGCTCATAGAAATCATAAGATTGACAAAAGTATTCTCATGAGGAATTCCAGCGGACATGATAGGCTTTCGCCTCAGGCCACGGCAACAACCGATGCCGCTCCGGCATTTACGCCCCTTCGGGCTTTTAGTGGACGTCTAGTAACTTGCTAATGACTCGGTCACACATCCTCATCCCGCGTCATTAAGAAGAATAGTGACTTCCCGAAGGTCTATTGTCCCCGCATCGGCGAGCGCCTGGACTCTGGATCAAGGGGCTTCATGCCGCCGCTGTATGTGTTCAGAGAACTTCTGTCGAAATCTGGAGACCGGATGGCTGCATCTTTGTCAAATCCCAAGCGAGGAGCAGCTCTAGCCGTGATGCTGTGGGACTCGAATCGAGAACGAGTCCATTGAGGTTTGCTTTGCACCGCAAGCCCCTTGTTTGATTCTAGAGTGAGGAGCACCAGTGACTCTTGTCATATGTGCGGACCAGGCTTTAAAATGGGCATAATGGCCTCCCTGGACCCCCTGCTCAGAATACAGGCTCGGCATTCTTGACAATAGTCCTTTCTTCTCGGTCTCAAAGGATGTCTCTTGTCATTGCTCGTTCAGCCAAGAAGGAGCCTTTAGAGCCTATCTCCCCTACAGATTCCGATCTTGAGAAGAAGGCTCCAATCAGCGTAACACGAATTCTATCATCTACAGAAAAGTCAGACCTCGGGGATGTATCTGACAAACGTCGTTTCTGGTTTCAGCGGTCTAAAGGCGATAACTCGAATGTCATCGCTACCCAGCCGTCTGTCTTCGATGACCCGGAGTTAGCAGACGAATACAGACCTCGACCAGATTGGGAAAATATCCATCGGTTCGATCCATCGGCTAGATGGTCATGGGGTGAAGAGAACGTGCGTTAACAATCATGAATAAGGATCACTGCGCAACCCAGACTGACAGCGATGTAGAAAATTGTTCGGAAGATCGATCTTCGTATTACTTTATTGGCTTGTGTGATGCTTATGGCGTTGGAGCTTGATAAATCCAATATCCGTACGTGCTGTCTATCCAAATGTGCAATCTTGAAGATCGCTGACCATGTATGAGCTCAGAACAAGCCAATGCGGACAACTTCTTGACCGATTTACACCTAACTCGGGACGGTCAGTCTGCGCAAGACATCAACTCCATCTTCCATAGGCTGACAGAGTTTTCAGACTATAACTTGGGAAACACAATTCACAGGCTATGCTACCTACTCGCCGAAGTACCTGCACAAGTCATGGCAAAATGGCTGGGCGCCGACAGATGGGTTCCTTTCCAGATGACATCATGGTCGATCATCGCTCTGTGCCAGTTCTGGCTCTCTGGCAGGACATCCTTTCTCTGCACAAGGGCTCTTCTGGGGTTACTATCCGGGGGATTCGTGCCAACAGTCAGTGGTTTCTCAAACATGATAAGCTTGTTGTGCTCATGTATAACAGATGATCCTCTACCTTTCCTACTACTTCAAGCATCACGAGCTTTCCATACGTCTCGGCTTCTGGTATACAGCATCTTCCTTTGCGGACATCCTCGCCGGGCTTTTCGCTTTTGGGATTCTGCACCTGCGGGGAGTTGGTGGTCGTGCCGGTTGGCGTTGGCTATTCTTGATCGAGGTTCGTGGCAGGCCAAGTTCTTCTGTTTCGATGCTCATTATTCACACACAGGGGCTGCTCACATTGACGCTTGGTCTCCTTGCTTTCATCCTCATGCCACCGTCACCAACGCAGACGGCGAATTGGGCCCGAGGCAAGAAGGGATGGTTTACAGAGAGGTATATCTTTGCTCCCATGGCACACTAGAACATGCTAATGATGGTTTGTGGATAGGGAGGAGATTATCATGGTCAACCGTATCATCCGAGAAGACCCCAGCAAGGGCACTATGCATAATCGCCAGCCGTTGACGCTCAAACTTATTTGGCAGAGTTTCAATGACTACGATCTATGGCCCTTATATATCATAGGACTTTTGTTCCTGATACCTAGTAGTGAGTACAGCACATGATTCGACCAAGTGGATCTTCTGCCAAAGCCAGCTAATGTCAACAGCAACAATATCGCAATACTTTACTTTGCTCTTAAAAGATTTTGGATTCAGCACGTTCAACACGATTTTGCTTTCCATTCCATGCAACGTACGCAATCTCAGGATCAGCCGCCAATCTTTGCTGAATACTGACTTTCCACTAGGCGATGGGCGCTGTGACCCGAATAGCCCTTGTCTACGGGGCTGAGGCCTTCGAGTCCCTTGCGTATATGGGCATTTTAGCCCAGTTGTGGATGCTGCCAATGCTCCTTTATATGAATGCGGTTAATTTCAGCCAAACCAACAAATGGGTCGCATGGACAGTACTCACACTAATGCTTTCTTTTCCAAACCGTAAGCACCTTTTGGTTTAAAAAGCGCTTGGGACACAACTAACGAGAATCCCTCCTCAGCCCATGCGCTTCACGCTGGGTGGAACTCTCGCAACTCGAACAGCGTGCGAACGAGGACAATCGCAGCCGCATTATATAACATGTCGTCGCAGATATCTCAAATCATTGGTTCGAACATATACCATGACTGTAAGTGTGGCCAGATCCATCCCTGAGCGCCCTTTGTTCCTTGGCTAATTAGGCATCCACTTTTGCCGCAATAGCGGATGCTCCTCGCTATGTCGTTGGAAACAGGACGCTACTCATCCTCGCTTGCACGAACATTGCCCTCTATGCCTTGACCAAACTATACTACGTGATGCAGAATCGCCGCCGGGATATGAAGTGGCAGGCCATGACAGAGGACCAACGAGTTGACTACGTTGCGACAACACCGGATCAGGGGAACAGAAGACTGGACTTCAGATTTGCACATTAACCAACAGCATACGTAATGATTCTTGGCCTCCACAGTGGTATAGACCATCATTAGCAATAGAATTGAAAGTTGGTCGTTTAAGAATAGAGATCTGGTTAAATGAACACCTGATGCATAAGGCGCCAAGAGCCTAAGCCTGACCAGGTATGTGATAAGGCTATCATCACGTGTTACAGATAGGATCGCGCCACGATCCCAAAACGGTAAAGAGAGTAGCAGGGCGCCTGATGCGTTTGGATGCCACCCTCACGAGGCTCCATAAGCATTGCCAACATCACCTCCTCTCGACCGTTCTCCAAACTTTCTTGAATTTGTTTCACGTCCAGTCTCTGTCTTCTCTCCCTTCTGGTCCTGAGCGGCTGTCGGACCCGTATTCCTTGGCTTGATCTGAGACACTCATTCGGTTCTATACTTGGCAAACGTGGCCGCAGCAGCAGTACTTCCCGGACTACGAGAGCGCGTTCTTTTAAGGCTGCATGTGCTCACAATCTCAGAAACCATCCCGTCTTGGAGAAGGCTGAATTACATAGTCGCGATCCTCTGTCCAGCTTCCTCTGCATGGATGGTTCATTCTCTACTTCTTATTTCTACCTCCTAGCATCCATCGTTTCGAGCCGCTGCCAATTTCGATCCAGGGATTGGTAACCGTTCTCCTGTTTTCGCTTTGATCTCGCGGGAAGGAGGGGATTTTATCTTCACGTCGACATAATCGTCAACCCTGGGAAGGGGCAGCGAAATTGACCTACAGTGGCTTCAACGCATACACAACCCGAGGAAGAAGGTTGGGAACTCGAGCCGGTCCTCGACACCCACGAATCAGATGAGGAGATGTCGCCAAACCGTCCAACTGTACATCGTCCAGTAGACGGCCGCCCTCACCAGCCGTTGCTACAGGATGAACGTCGGCGATTGTCGAACACCGATTTTGGCCATGGCAACGCGGAAGACAGGCCTATGCTGCACCATACCAGGCGGCCGACGATCAGGAGTCCCGAGTATTCTGCGGAGCTGGCGACTCGGCGAAAGTACATGATTGCGTCGGGATTCTTGCTGTTGAGCTTGGCTAGTTTTGTGGTTCAGACCGAGACGGCGGTATATATCCAGCATGAGCTGCATTGGGACAAACCATATTGCATGCTGTAAGTTGAGTGGCTGTGGATTGCGCCGAACTTAATCTGACTTGATTCTTTCTTGCAGCTATCTCACCCACGGGTCATGGTCCCTTCTCTGGCCGGTCCAACTTCTTATCTTGCGAATACAGAAGAGGAAGCTTTCCTGGGAAGCATTCTGGCGACGTCACGTTTATTTATTACGGACCACGGCGCAAATGGTTGAGTCGAGAGATCTACACCTCACGTCACGCGATTTGCACCGGTCACCGATTCCCTACATGCTCAGGACAACTGCTTTTGTGACTGTAGCTCTCACCATTGCCGGTGGATCATGGTATGTGGCAGTCAATCTCACGACGGCCAGTGACCTCACCGCGATCTACAACTGCTCCGCCTTCTTCGCGTATGCTTTCTCCATTCCGCTATTGAACGATAAGCTGCGGTTTGATAAGGTGTTTTCGGTTGTCGTTGCCATTGTAGGAGTTCTGGTGGTTGCGTATGGGGATCGCAGCGAAAGCAAACAGACCCCGGATGGCACAGTGGGGAAAGCAAAGCAGGAAGCAGAGAACAGACTTGTGGGAAATATCATAATCGGGGTCGGAAGCGTGCTCTACGGTCTGTACGAGGTGTTGTACAAGCGGTTCGCCTGTCCCCCGGAGGGCACAAGCGCCGGCCGGAGCATGCTCTTCGCCAACACCTTCGGCAGCCTCATCGGATGCTTTACCCTGCTCGTGCTCTGGATTCCCTTGCCTATCCTTCACATGCTGGGCTGGGAAGAGTTTCGAATGCCGACCGGTGAGGCCGCATGGATGCTTCTCGTATCGGTCGCCGCCAATGCCAGTAAGTCTTTCGCACAGTTCAGTTCTCTTTTCGTCCATTCTGACCGTCGCCAGCCTTCTCGGGATGCTTCCTCGTCCTCATCTCGCTCACGTCCCCCGTTCTCTCCTCTGTAGCCGCCCTCCTCACCATCTTCCTCGTCGCCATCGTCGACTGGCTGCGCACGGGACAACCCCTCTCCGCCGCATCGATCATCGGCGGTCTCCTCATCATCGTCGCTTTCTTCCTCCTGAGCTGGAGCACCTACCGCGAAATGAACGAGGAAAAGAGAAAGAGCATCGAAGCCGAGGAAATGGAGTCCGAGTGTGATGACTAGCTTGGCTTGCCCCATTCTATTTAATATACCGTGGATTGGGTTTTTCTAATAGTGCACATCTCCTTGAGTGTACCGCTCTTTTGGTTATCGGGGTTTTGTATATATTTACTTCTATTTCTGGGTTTCATAGAAGGTTTTCTCTAGATGTTGCGGATAGATGATGCGTGCTGCAATGAGCACAAGGGATAGTGCAATGGCAGTTATTCTGTATAATGATCAATACCTAGTGCTCACTCGCTTGCGTACTCTATACTACGTACAAGGATCGAACGGGCAGGCAACTGGACGTCCTGGAAACCTATGTGACATGTTGGTCTTCCAGAGAAGATTCTTTCAGAGGAGTAAAAAGTGGCTATATCAACACGATGGAGTCCGATGGGGACTTTGACAGGGAAAGGTGGGATGGGATGGGATGTGACTCGATTGACGAAGACCGAACAAAAGGCGACTCGACTCGACTCATCTAGCTAGTACCGAGCTTGGCCAAGGCACGGACACCTTGCTCCTCCCATTCTTGCTTGGAGACCCACATGTCCTCCTTGTCGGCGATCTGTGATATGTTAGAGACTTCGTCGAGGGAAGGCCATGACGGGCATTTTGATTCCTTACCAGATTGGCGAGCACGGCACCGCCCAGGAAGACCATGTGTCTCCGTCGGGGAGGATCTTCGATCCGCACTTTGAATTTCTGCAAGAGAGATTTATTTAGCTTTTGTCATTCTCCAAGGGAGCTTAGGTTAGGGACGTACACCGAGTCGCTCGGGGTCTCCCTGGAGTACCCGCGTAAGCCACAGTTGCTTAAGTTCCTTCTCCAGCCGCGACGGCAGACCAGGGTACATGCTGCTTCCACCACTGAGGACGATGGCCTTGTACAAGCTCGAGCGGACGTCGACGTCGGCGCCCTGGATGGTGTTGAAGAGCAGCTCGGCCATACCGGGCTGGTCGACGTCAACCAGGTGCGGTTGGAAGAGACACTCGGGGGCCTCGAAGCGCTCGCTGCCTACCCGGATGACCCGGCCATCGGGGAGTGTGTATGATTCAACGAGAACGGTGGTATCCTCGGAGAGCTTCTTGTCTAGCTCGAGGTCGTACGAGACGTAGCAGAGCTTCTCTTTAATCTGGCGCACTGTTTCGAAGTCGGCCGTACGGTTGAGAGCGTAGCCGCGGCGCAGGAGCAGAGCGATCAGGTTGCGGGTGACGTCGCGGCCGGCGACGTCCAGTCGGCGGATATGGTGCTTGAGGACGGTGGATTCGTAGACGGGAATAATATGTGTGACGCCGTCACCGGAGTCGACGACCACACCGCTGCTGAGACCTGGTACGAACAAAGATCAGCTGTCGTTACTAGCTGCTCGGGCCGTTGCACTCACCCTGAGCGTAAAGAGCAAGTACGGCCTGAATGGCGACGTATACGCCTCCGAAGTTGTATCCTTCCAGCATGACCTCGCACATCTTTTCGCGGTTCTTTAGGGGGTTCATTGGGGGTTCGGTCAGGAGGATCTTGCGCCCCGTGGGGTCGATTTTCATCTTCTCGTAGAATGTGTAGTTCCATAGGTGCTGCATGTCGTCCCATTTCTTCACGATACCGTTCTCCATCTATATTGCCGGCGGACATCAACCAATGGTTCACTGAATCAACACCCTGCTGCAAAGACGGTGACGGAGCTGCGCCGGGAAGGCGAGCAACCGTTCGAAACAAGAACAGGGACATGGGAGGCAGAACGTACAGGATAGCTAATCTGAAGCATTGATCTGGCGGCTGCCGCTTCATCTCCGCACATGATATCCTTCACGACAATGTCGCCGGCCTGTTCCTCAGTTCGCAGTATGGGCCGCCCCACTATCGAGGGGAACTGGTGCTCTGGGAAGTTCTGTAGACGAAAGACGGATGAGCATGGCGCATGATTGACATTCTGTGCGTAATATCCGACATACCTGCGCAGCATATCCGACCTTGAGGAAACCAGTCCCTCCGTCGAGCACTGGTGTGTAGGTTAGCTAGCTGGCGGACGGGGAAGCTGCCTGGAGGGGGAATGGTGCTCACCAATGGGCATGTCCGCCATGGTGGTGGTTGAACAATAAGTAATTTAGTTCAGTTAGTTCCTCCGTTGGAAAACAACCGAAAATCCGGAGTGAAATGCGACGCTGGGGTCGAGAGTTGTTTATGGATTGTAAAGATGAGGGGACGGCGAGGGAGTTTGGGTCTGGAGGTGTGTTAAGTCGATGGGCTTCCCCATAGTCGTCATTAGCGCGCCGAGCCGCATTCCATCAACCGCCGTACGCATGCTACTGGAGTCATAATTGTCACTTGAGTATTTTGGAATTCCAGGCTAGAGAATGACTAGCCAGTAGATAATCCACTGAGCGTATTCTATTCACGTAGACTGATGGAAAGGGCATTGTTGGGTGACCCTGATGAGTCCCTCCGCGATGTAAACACCATAACACCTTTCAACAGAGCAGTACGGAATAGTCAACCGGCCTGGTAAATACAATGTGTACTCAAGGACGGTCCCACCGAACATCTCCCAGTCATCGCAGCGTTGGCAGACATTCCTACAATGCAGCAGCTACAGTCTGGAAGCAGTCTATCGGCCGATGCCTTCCCGAGATCGGGACCGCCCGGTGATCCCCAGAATAAATAGATATACCCTCATCCCAATCTCCAACTCTCGCAATAACCTCATTTGCAACTCAAAATCAAGATGAGTCGAATCGGCTGGGTAAGTCATCCTCAAGACCAAACCAATCCAACCCAACGTACTGACCTGAGCCCAGTATGGCCTCGGCTCCATGGGCCTGGCAATGGCCACCAACCTCCAACGCCATCTAGCCACAAAACGAGCCCTGAATCTGGTCTACTCGAACCGAACAATGGCACGCGGCGACACATTGAAAAGCTTAGGCGCCGTGCCCGAGCCGAGTTTCCAGAATCTCGTCGCCCAGTGCGGGATTATCTTCACCATGGTAAGCCCCGCTCCATCCAAAGGGAACTGCGCAATGCATATTAATGGACGATAGGTCTCCAACGACACCGTGCTAAGCAATCTCATCACCGCGGCCGTCGATTCAGGCCACTCGCTCAATGACAAGATCTTCGTCGACTGCTCAACCGTCCACCCGCAGACGGTTGGGCTGACCGTCTCCAAGCTAAAGGAGAACCAGGCATCTTTCCTGGCAGCCCCCGTCTTCGGCGGGAACCCGATTGCCGTGGATGGGAAGCTTGTCTTTGCAATCGCGGGGCCGACGAGTGCAACGGAGGCCGTCAAGCCGCTCATCCAGGATGTCATGGGGCGGAAGATCATCGACTGCGGGGAGGATGCGACCAAGTCGTCCCTGTTGAAGATCGCTGGGTGAGCCTTTCTCGCATCACTGCTAGTGGTTTAGGCTGATTGAATAGGAACATTGTTACGGTGAACCTAATGGAAGCCGTCGGGGAGGCCCAGGTCTTCGCGGAGCGGACGGGCCTAGGCACCGGGCCGATGGAGGAATTGATCGGCGAGGCATTCGGTGCTGTGGCGGGTGGCTACTCTAAGAGGTGTGTGGAGCAGACTGTGATAGGAAGTGACCCCGTACTGATTGCTATAGACTGACAACTGGCGCCTATGCGCCATCCCTCGACTCCCGTCCTGGGTTTGGTGTCTCGCTGGCCATCAAAGACGCCAATCATGCACTTGCCATCGCCCAGGAGCATAATGTCCGCCTGCCTGGTTTGCAAGTTGCTCGGGAGAACATGATGGCGGCGAGGGAGTACGCGGGGGAATGCCTGGATAGCAGCTCCATGTATGGAGTCTTGCGGCAGCAGGCGGGCCTGGAGTTTTGGAATGGGAAGAGCAGAAAGGGTGGAAGGTAGTAGTAGATTATTAGCGATGTTTGTATGCTCCGTGGATGCGTGTTTATGCTATATACCACCGTGTCGAACCATTATAGAACAAGAAAATGAAATCTTCGCTGCAGAACCACCCAACGAAAGAGATCTGAATAGATGTACAACAGAGCCCTAGAATCTCTGCTCGCCTGCTCGCAATGCGCCAGTCACAAAGTCGACAGCCAGATAAATCACCAACCATACACTCCATCTGCCCGTTTTTGTATGACACAAGAGAAGAAGAGAAAGAGAGGTGCATCGCAAAAGAAAAGGAGGTAACGTGCGGATGAGACGCTGAACCAAAGAAACATGACGTATATTAAGATTTGATCCTCGCGGTTTCGGCCATTTGCGGATGCGCTTCGGCAAAAGCTGGGCCGAGCGACCAATTATTTAGATTTCTCAAGTGTCGCTCAAAGACTGGATTAATGACGAGATCCTCATGATCGCTGGTGGAAAGCAGGCAGTCCGTCGCCTCGTACGGCCAGTTAACGGACAGAGTCCGAGTGAATGGGATGAACCACTGGTCAAACGGATAATCCTGATATGAACCGACCAGCCGATCGCGCATCCGCGGCCACGGAAGGTAGTCAATCCAAGCTGGATGAGGTGTGAGAAGTTGGGAGGGCCGAGGTGTGAGCCAGTCTGGCAGCCGCTCATAGTTCTCTGGCGTCGGGTAGATCTGCCACCGCATGAGGAGAAACATGGCATATAAGACGGCCACTTGCTCGGGGAGGGACGAAATATCTGGGAATGCGCGAAGGATATCGACAAATACCTTTGAGAGTGGATGCGAGTAAACGCTCTTGTCGGGGTTCAGCAGCGACGAGACACTGGGATAAGGAGGCCCCACGAGCTTCTGTGTGGGAACTCCCTCTGCCGCTTTGCGCTGACGCTGGTGAAGGAAATCCAACAGGATGGCGTCCAATGTGCATGTCGGGGCTATGTTCCGAATCGGAGTCCTGTACGCGGGCAAGGGTTGCTCCGGCGCAGGACTGCTAGGCGAAGGTGTGTAGACTGGAGGCGGATCAGCCTGACACGGCCTGAAGCTCTCCGTTGAGCTACGGAACCCTTGCACTCTAGGAACTTGCTGAGTGGTATCGAGCAGGAAATTGAACCCCAGTCTCTCATCGGTACCAAAATCCAATCCATGGGCGAGGTTATGACGCTGGTAGTCAAACGCGATCCGGAATGAGGCCAGTCCGTTGCTGCTATCCTGTCGATGCGCACTCATCGTAGGCGCCGAGTGTGTCGACGTCGGCGTTTCTGCGCCAGAAGTCGAAGCCGTATATGAGGACTCGTATCTTTGGCCGGTCGAGGTGAAATGGTGAGTCTCGGCGTACTGCAGCGGGTTGAAGGGAGTGTTCAGAGGTTGACAAGACGGAGGAGGTGCCGCTGCGTGCGGGGGAGGAGGGGGAGGCAGATCTGTTGTCCATTGTGTCAGAGATAGTCCAGGCGAGCATTCATGACAATACCAAAGAACACTCACTTGGGTCCTGCTTCGCAACCAGCGGCTGTATGATATCCATCACGGCCTTAAGCCCGTGCTTCAAATCCCGATTCTCCGCCTGAATCGCTTCATTCCGCTTCAGCGCCGCCTGGAGATCAAGGAACGGTTTCTGAGACGAGAGCTCGCGCACCCGCTGCTCAAGCGACTCAATGTGCGATTTTGTCCGCTCCCGGATCGCCCGCTGGGCCTGCCGATCATTCGCTCGCTTTTTAGCCAATTGCTCGGGGGTCAGATTGGCCACGCCGCGCGACGAGGTACTGTTGAGCTTGCGTTTCCGGCCCGCGGCCGTCGTGGATCCGCCATGGTTATCTGCCACGGGTGTCTCGCCGTCGGCGGAGGTGAAACCGGATGGTGTAGGGGAGGCTTCCTGCTTGACGCACTCGGGATCTTGATTCGGAGTGGAGAGTATTGAGGACGGGTTCGAGGTGAGTGGTATTGATGCTGTTGCTGATACTGACACTGTGGCTGACGCTGGAGCTGGAGCTGGAGCTGGAGCTGGAGTGGTGCTCACGGATGATGATGACTCCAGGGCCGACGAGGGCGCCACATCATTTAAAGGGGGCAGGCGGGAGGCCATGGCCCTCACTGGCGCGTCTAGCTAACGCCAACGGCCATTCAAAGCGTCAGATGGGGAGGAAAATATTGGATGATGAAGAGTGCCAAGTGGATGTGGATGGAGATAATATCCACGAGATGGGGATTGAGTCAGCGGAAGTACGAAAGACTCGACATTCGAACGGACGACAGATAGAATTGGGCGGGGTAAATATAATTTTTGTCTCTCAGTCAGGATCGGCCTCCTTCTCGTCCTTCGGCGTTGCTGCTGCTGCTGTTGAGCCTGGTGTTGTTTTACATGGGGGCTGCATATTTTCCACAGATGTGCGCGATTCGAGCCATTCCTTCAAGAGACTAAGTAAGACAAGGGAACGACAATGGTTTGAGGGGGTCAAAGTGGAGTTCCGCCCCAAACCTTCCGTCGCCGTCGCTCCCTTGGGCCTTGGGCCTTGGGCTTCTGGGAGGGCCTTTGGGGGTGTCTGGCTCAGCCTTGGGCTAGGCATCCAGAATTATTAATCGCCACTCTACGCCATGGACTCAATGAACTCAATCCGCCGACGTCTCGCCGACGGTTGTTAATTGGACTAACTGGACACGGAAAACGGTCCTTGCAGATACTCGTCAGATATCCACTGCAGTAGAACTAGTCCGACTACAGACTAGAACTGCATTTAGAGTATGCGAACCAGAGATTAGAGAGAGGGATTAGATTATCTCGACCAATCGTGGCCAGATGGACGATGTCGAGACCATCATGTACAAAGTGCGCTAATACATTAGTTTATGTACCGTACGAAAGTCCGAACGAAAAAGAAAAATGTGAAGCAGAAAGTTTGCGCTGCAGAACCGTTACATGATTGACAAACCATACACTGTATCGACTTGTCTAAATCCAAGAGCAGGAAAGCGTACTCGGGTTACAACCGAAAGGAAGGCGGATCATTGGAGCAAATGGCCCATTTTCGATATCTGGGAGAGTGAGACATTGTTCGATGATGAGAGAAAACAGCTGGTTTGCAAGAGATAGATTGTCGACATACCTTTGTTCTCAGATAGCCCTCGACCTCTGAACTCTTGATCCCCATCTTTCCACCCGATCTCCATGCCAATGGCACCATCGGCACACGCTC